CACCTAGCCTGTGGCTTCATGGATCTATCTTGAGATCAGGTTTTTGAAGTCACTCAAAGGACAAGGGAGGCAAGGCTTGACTTAGGATTTCTCAGATCCAGCCTTCCTACTTGTCACAGCCCGAGAACCATGGCGAGGCCCGCAGGGTGGTCCAAGTACTAGTTGTACAGAAGCCATTGTCCTCATTCACCCTTTGCTTTGTGCTCCAAGTCACTTTAAGGGGGACATGAAGAGCAGTGTTCCCCTCATGCCAGAGGTCTGTGGTCAGAACGGGCCAGCCATGAGGACAACTAAGGCCCGTGTCTTCCAAGGACCGGTACTTACGAGCCAGGCACCGCTGTTTCCACTGCACTCACCAACTCATTAGTCTTCCCCAGGGTCCTTAAAGGCAGGTGTTTTCATGTCGCCAGGGCAGAAGAGATGTCAAGTAACAAGGTGTCAGCCACAGTGCAGCACTAGGGTGCGTCATAGCATTCTGTGTTCTCAGTACAGCATTCACACGTCAGAGTCTATCAATGGCCCATGCAGATTTATTATTTTCGAAAAATCCATGCTGCCCACCCTCTCCCAAAAGAGGAACCATCCAAGTCACACGATGAATGTGTGCAGGTGGGCCCTCTAGACAATGTCATCAGACAGTGAACTAAAAACACAGCAGCAAAGAGGTGCATTAGATCTAGATATGAGTTCTGAAGATCTGTATGACCCAAATACCTTTGATAGAATTCTAGAAACCAGTGCTATGGCTCTTTGTAGCTAGGCAGCCCAGGTCCATTAATGGTAGGAAGGGTTGAGCATTTTTCCCTCTTTCTGCCAGGCACAGTTGTGCCATTGGGAGAAAACTTCCAATTCCCAGCTCCTCCCCAAGTAAGGAAAGAATAGGACCTATGCCCAAATTTCTGGCTTGCTGCCTTTTGAGCTGCAGTCCCACAGATAGTCACTGGGGGGAGCAAGAAATTACAGGCAGTGGAACCCTAGAACTAGGGAGCATTGCAGGGGAAGCAGGACAGCAGGACCAGCTCTTGGGGAGTTAACAGGGTAGTTCCAGTTTGGCAAGATGAGAAAGTTCTGAATATTAGTTGCAAAACAACATGGACAAATTCAACACCACTGAACTATATGTACTTAAAAATCATGGTTACAGGGCTGGGCTGGAGAGATGGCTCAGCAGTTGAACACTGGTTGATCTTTGAGAAGACTCAGGTTCAGTTCCTAGAACCCACATGGCAGCTAACACCATCCTTAACTCCAGTTTTAGGGAATCCAACTCCTTTTGCTGGCCTCCTGTAGACCAGTGCACAGGTGCACTCACATGCAGGCAAAACACTCATACACATAAAATAAAAATAACATGTTCTTTTTTTAAAAAAAAAAAAAAAATGGTTACAATGGTATATTTCATGCTTTAAAAAAAATCGCAAGTCTAAAATTTTTAAATGTACTGATAATCTACTACATACCTACTGGCATGGTCAAGATAAAAAGGAAAGATACCACCAAATGCTGGCAAGTATGTCAATCAAGTGGAGAAATAAAGTGGTACATCCATTCTGGGAGGCAGTTTAGCAGTTGCTTACAATAAAACATATCCTTACCACACGACACATCAGTCTCCAAACACATGTCCATGCAGAAACCTGCATATTTACAGCAGTACTGTTCAAAATTGCCAAACTCTGGAAGCAACCAAGATGTCCTTTGGCTAACAGGAAGATGGAAAAACTACGGTATATCCAGGCAATGGTGTATTTTTTGGCAGGAGAAATGGGCCATGTAGCCATAAATGCATAAAGGAACCATAGATGTGTCACTAATTGAATGATGCCACTCAAAATGATGACATACTATGACTCCAAATATATGGGACTCGAAAAGGCAAAACTATGATGATCAAAAAAAGATCAGTAATTGTCAAGGGTTTTTTTTTGGGGGGGGGTTGTTGAAGCACAGTTGTTTTAGTGTAGAGAAACCATCCTGTATGAGACTGTAATGGAGGATATGTTGTCAGAAATTTGTCCAAATCCGTGAAATGCACACAGAGATACAAACTGTGGGTGTGATAGGTGGTGATAAGGAGGTGTCGTGTGGGTTCACCATCTGCAACAAACATGCTACACTGTCTCTGATGGGGGTATCGAAAGTGGGTGGGCTGTGTATGTGAGGGGGAGCAGGTACATAGGAATGCTACCTTCTGTTCAATGCTATAGTAAACCTAAAACTGCTTGTAAAAAAACCTATTAAAACACACACTGACCTTAGAAACAGCAGGCGCTGAAAGGTACAGTCAGCTCGTCAGCTGAGGTACTGCAGGAGTTGGGAAGCTGGCATCAGAGGGAAGTGAACAGGGCCACTGCCCACGTCAAAGTCATTTCTGAATCCAGTTAGGAAGACAGAGGACAATCACAACTCAAGTTATGCTCAGGTATCATCAGCAAACGGAAAGGGGACCAATGAGCAAAAACCAAAGTACAAACACCTGCCACCAGGAACTGGTTTTTCTCGAGATACGTATCAAGTTTTGTGGCTTAGTCCTTGACACCTGGAACCTGTCAATTTCATTTTAACTGTGTTAATCCAAGTTACCAATACCAGATGCTACTCAGCTCAAAAGCTGTCATTTTTATGCAGGTCTGGTTCGGCTGCCTGAGCATGGGCCCGTGGCCGACACAGCACACCTAAGCGTACCTCCATCCGGGCAGCAAGATGAGAAATGGACCGCACTGCTTGATGTGGCCATTAAAGCAAAATTCATCTGCCGTTTCTGCAGTCCCAAATTGATGAGCACACAAGAACTCATTTATAATTGCTTATTTCTACCCACAACATTACTTCCAATATTTCTCTCTAAAAAAAAAAAAAGTCCATTAACATGGCATTATACTTCTATAATCCTTAAAATCAATGCTGATTGGGAGCATGTCCTCCTGGCAGTAAGTCTAACTGACCCCGCGGGAGGCAGAGAGGAGTGAGCCCCAGGTTTGGGTCCAGGCTCTTCTGCCAGGGGCCACATAGCCTTTGAGAGGCCAGGGAACAAAGGGACTAGGGCTGATGGCCACCAGAGGAAAAGAGTCACGTCTCCTCTGGGAGGCCGGTGCTGAGAAGGGAGAGACACAATCACTTGGAGTAAATGAAAAAGGACACAAGGTTAAAATGAAGTTTATTATTTTTTTTGAAATTTTTTTTTTTGGTTTTTTTGTTGTTGTTGTTTTTTAAATAAAACTGTTTGTGAAACAGCTACTTTATCCCCGTGGCAGAGTGACCCTGAAAGATGCACTAATCCCTTCTTAAGGCCTTAACAAGATTTTTTTGTACTTTTTTCTTTTTTTAAAACTCAGATATTTAAAAATTATACAATTTACAAAACAAAACAACACAACATAAAGAATCACGTAAGACAGGCTCATGACTGACAAGCCCCTTCTCCATTATAAAATGAAAGCAATAAAGGTCAAGTAGGTGGCTCTGGTCAGCGTAAGCCCCCACATGGTCACACCACTGTTCTCTCCGGCCCTTGCCTGCTCGAACAGCAGAGGCCTGGGCCTCCGTGGGTTCTGAGGAGCCCATGGGTCCCCACGGGTCAGGCCACAGCTATGTGGAATGTGCCAAGGGAGGGGGCACCAGAGTCAAGCCATCCTCTAAGTGTGCCTGTTGTGTGGCTACTCAACCCACTTGGTGGGGCCCTTGGTGATCCCACCAGCCAGTGACCCAGGACACAGCCATGACCCCGGGGCACTTGTCAATCCCACCCCCCAAAAGATAAGAAATTTAAAAATAAATAAATAGTGTTTCTGGAAAGGAAAAGAATTTATTTTTATGTTTAAACATCATTCCCCCACTCTTGAAAACACCACATCCCCATTTCCCTCCCCTTAGAACTTCCCTGTGAAACAGATTCTGATAAGAGGGAGGGAGGGTGTGGTCTGTTTGTCCTTTAGTCCTGGGTCAAGTGTTCACTGAATTGGTGTGAGACAGGTTCAAGATCAAGCCACACCCCATCCTTTAAGATGAGTTTGCTCAGGTCAATTTCACATTTAATTTTCACTGTCATTGGAACAAATTTGGAGTTATTTAACTAGATCATTTTAAAATAGAATCAAAAGGGATAGCGCACCTTTCATTTAAACAAAGTCTTTCCAGACTAAAAA